TAATGGACGTACTTTATCTATTTTTATTTTTTGATCTTTAGTTAAAAACAAATTCAATATCGATATTTGCCATCAGTTCTGAGAGGAGCAAGGAAGTGCTTCATCAATGATCTAAAGTCCCACATCGGAAAGGGGTATACTTTCAACAGATAGTTCTGCTATAAAATGGCTGGAGTCTTAGTGAAACAAATTTACGCAGCTGCGTTGTGAGCACAGATCATCGAACTATTCTTTCGCCTTTTACTAAGGTGTAACCTTCCAGATTTTATGGGATTTTCTGATTTTCTGATTATTTGAAGTTTATATCTCTGAAACAATTTCTTTATCAAATAGAAATAAAGAGAAGTAATTCACTTGTATTGCTGCTCGAACTTTTGTATAAAAAATTGAAACCTATTATTTGGTAATTTAATGCGTATATAAATTGAAACCTATTATTTGGTAATTTAATGCGTATATAAATTGAAACCTATTATTTGGTAATTTAATGCATGAAGTCTTATGTTATCAATCGTATCTGTCACCTTTGAGTGGTGGTTTTGACAGGACTCCACCTAGATTGATCAGTTTCTTATTTATTACTTGTTTGGTGATTGGAACTGAGAGGGTTTTGGTTTCTTGTTGTGTTTGTTTTGTATGTCCTATGTAATTTCTAAGAAGGCAATTGTGGGCTACTAGCCCCAACTGTGCTGACAATGGGCGTGAGCCGACTTCTGTAGCTAGCTTTTATGTACAAGGAAGAACAAACAGGTCCTGTCCATCTTCAACCAGGGTTGCATGCTTGATAGTTTTCGGAAACATATTTTTTTTTTAAATATATTTTCTCCCATTAAGAGTTTAATTGCAGGGCGATAGTTGACAGAGTATGGATTTTTAATCTGGGAAAAAATGATCAAACTATCAGTTTCTGCCTCTTGCTTAAAAATAACAAAGGCTTCAATTTTTATTACCTCTGGCAGCTGGACAGGTTTCTGATTCCTTTATCTCAGAGCTTACTATATCCCTTTAATTCAGCTTTTAAAAATTTCTCTTTGAGTTTATGCAGTTGGCAGCACTTCCCGTAATGCCCGTCCAAGCAACGACTCAGCAGGTTGGATTTGTGTTCCTCTGTGCAGTTCTTGATAATAATGATTGTCAATGATATATAATATTTCTTAAATGCTTGTTTGTCAGGCTACAAGACATGCTCGACGGGTCTATGTTGGTGGGCTCTCCGCAACTGCCAATGAACAGGTAGTATAGTATGTTCTGTATCTTTCTAGCACACATGGTTGGATATTTGACTAGCTGTTATTATATGTGGTTGCATACATAGTTGTATCTAAATGTTGAAGAATATTTTTTTCCCTTTAAAACTGCTGCACCTTTCTTCAATCAGTAAGGCTTTATACCTTCTCATGCCATTATAATTGCATTGTGATGTTCGATTTTATGGACCTATTGGACCTGGCTGTTACCTTTTTATTCACTCAACAAAACTCTGCTTATTACATTATTTTTTACACCTTGTTCATTTTATTAATCCCCTCATTGCAGTCCGTGGCTACCTTCTTTAGTCATGTTATGTCAGCAATTGGAGGAAATACTGCTGGTCCAGGTTGGGTTTGCATGCATTTACAATTGCTGTTTATTTGTTTGTTTATTTACTTTTAAGCAATATTTGTCAATGCTTTGAATAATTTTGTTTTCTTTTCTTTCTTCTTTTCCTCATTCAGGAGATGCTGTGTTGAACGTTTATATCAACCACGAGAAGAAATTTGCTTTTGTTGAAATGCGATCTGTTGAGGAGGCCAGCAACGCAATGGCTTTAGATGGCATTATTTTCGAGGTAAATCCGTATTTTGAAAGACCTTCTAATTATTATGGTTTAGAGAACTTATAAGAACTCTAGGTTTGAAATTTCGCATAGTAAATCCATGAGCACTGCACAATATCTATTATTCCTTTTGGCTATGACATTATGCACTTAATGCATTATCAAAATCCGTCTATAACTTTATCCAAGTCTCGTTCACTTCTTTTGTCCAGGGTGCACCGGTTAAAGTAAGAAGACCAAGTGATTATAACCCTTCACTGGCTGCAACCCTTGGCCCTAGTATGCCCAATACCAATCTGAATCTTGCAGCTGTTGGGCTCGCATCAGGATCTTCTGGCGGGCTTGAAGGCCCAGACCGCATATTTGTTGGAGGTTTATCGTATTATTTCACTGAAGCACAGGTCAGGGAGCTACTGGAGACCTTTGGGCCGCTAAGGGGCTTTGATCTGGTCAAAGATAGAGAAACAGGAAACTCCAAGGGCTATGCATTTTGCGCTTACCAGGATTTATCTGTAACGGACACTGCTTGTGCAGCTCTCAATGGTATAAAGATGGGAGATAAAACACTTACTGTTAGGCGTGCCAACCAGGGCGTGCAACCTAACCCTGAGCAAGAGAGTGTGCTATTGCACCCCCAGCAACAAGCGGCATTGCAGGTAATGGAGATTTGATTGTATTATATGCTGTCATTTATGTTAGGTCCTATCGGTAATTCTCCAGATTGTTAGGCTGTGATTGAAACTGAAAATGAAACAATTATTTTTCTCAAATCAAGATCACGATCACAAATCTATCTCCACTCTTTCCTAAGAACAACTTATTTTTATTACGTTTCCCTCTCTATATTCGGATATGACAAATTTTTTCAAATAACATCGTAAATTCAATCGCAACCTTTGATTCTGGTTTTTAGGTTAAACATGTGATTGTTTTGTAATTTTTGTCATTATCTTCTGAAGGGGAATGAACCAGTCTACTAACACTTCTTGTTTGTTCTCTTTTGCAGAGGCTCATGTTGGCACTTTGCATCACACCTGCTACGAAGATTGTGTGCTTGACACAAGTGGTGAATGTAGATGAGCTCTGATGAAAACTATGAGGATATAGTGGAGGACATGAGAACTGAATGTGCAAAATTTGGTGAGTTTTAATTTTTAATATACAGTATATGACTCCAGTTTTATTTTCATTCATAGCATTTGAACTTGAAGTTGCAACTTACATGGTCGCTATACATGGATTATATAACATAATCGACGTTTGATTGTTTTTTTCCTTTCACACATACTCGTGCATTTGACACTTCTCCTTGATGTTTACTCGCTGATTAATTTATGCAGGTTCTTTAGTGAATGTGATCATTCCTCGCCCTTTTGCCAATGGTGAAACACCCCCCGATGTAGGAAAGGTTGGTTATATGATATATAAATCTATATAATATTAATATAAAATGTGGTTCAAATAAGGTATTGTACGAACTATGAGAATGCCTTTTTCAACTATGTGTAATGTCATTTTTAATTGTGTTTTGGTGCTATTATTAATTAGGATTTATTTCTAAAGACGACACTTGTATTTAATAGCATCTAGAACCATATTATATTAAATATAACGCCACAATTAAAAACAGCGCCATGTACAACAGTTTTACCACTAGGACTTGTTATTATAGTGGCCCGAAAATAACTTTGTCGTTCTTGTAGGTTTTCTTGGAGTATTCAGACATCGATAGTTCTACAAAAGCACGACTGGGGCTGAATGGAAGGAATTTCGGAGGGAATCAAGTTGTGGCAGTTTTCTATCCTGAGAATAAGTTTTCTGAAGGAGATTACAGTGGCTAGTGTTCCCAAGTTCTGGTCGGTCCACACACAAGTCTCTTTAGCTTTCTTTTTAGCATATAGCTTTCGGTTTGTTCTTTAGATTTTGTCTATTCGACTTCTATGCATGTTAATGGAGTTGCTCACTTGGATAGATTTGAAAAACTAGTCTCGGTAATTTTACTCGGCATTTTGGATTATGTTTCCCTACTCTGCCAAGCTAGTTCCAATTCAAGGCTACCAAAGCCAAGAAAGAAAGACAT